TGCATTAGGGCTGCCTTGTGCCAGTTTTCCAGAATAAAGCTGGCTTAGCTAGCCATGCGTATAGAATATAGGTGGCATTTAGAAGCCACTACAATGGCTCCACTAGCCCCTTTCTTGCAGCTGGCATAGTGATTCTCAACCAGGGGTACACATACACCTTGGGGTAGCAGAGGTCTTCCATCAACTCACCTAGATATTTGCCTAATTTTACAACAGGCTACATAAAAAGCACTAGCAAAGTCAGTATAAACCAGGGATCGGCAACATTTGGCACGTGGCCTGCCAGAGTAAGCCCTCTGACAGGCTGGGCCGGTTTGTTTACCTGCCGCATCCGCAGGTTTGGCCGATCGCGGCTTCCACTGGCCGCGGTTCGCCGCTCCAGGCCAATGGGGGCTGCGGGAAGCCGCGGCCAGCACATCCCTCATCCCACGCCACTTCCTGCAGCCCCCATTGGCCTGGAGCGGCGAACCATGACCAGCGGGAGCCGCGATCAGCCGAACCTGCGGACGTGGCAAGTAAACAAACTGGCCCAGCCCACCAGGGGGCTTACCCTGGCGGACCGCGTGCCAAACGTTGCCGATCCCTTGTATAAACTAAAATTTCATACTGACAATGACTTGTTTATACTGCTCTACATACTCTACAATGAAATGTAAGTACAATATTTATATTCCAGTTGATTTATTTTATAATCATATGGTAAAAATGAGAAAGTAAGTAATTTTTTTTTTTGTGCTGTGACACTTTTGTTTGTTTATGTCTGATTGTGAAAAGCAAGTAGTTTTTAAGTGATGTCAAACTTGGGGGTATGCAAGACAAATCAGACTCCTGAAAGGGGTACAGTAATCTGAAAAGGTTGAGAACCACTGCTTTAGAGAAAAGGGGCTGGGCTTCCCAGAACCCATTGGGGCTATTGGCGAGATTAGAGGAGACTGCAGAATCAGACATTTGCAAGGCAGTCCCAGGAGCAGTGTATCACATTGTGGCCACCTTAAAGTGTGCATATGTACCCTCCAGATTTGCACTTAATGCTCTTCTTGGACCCCAAGATCCAGCCCATAATTTAAAAATAAAAGAAGTAAATTGAGTTGCTGAAGCACAATGGATTCTGTGGCCCTGGAGTACTTGGGGCCTGAGTGGAGACATTTCCTCCAGTGGTTTGTGTGGACCTTTCACACCCAGCAACAGGGGAGAGAAGAGCACGTGAAGGGCTTAGGTGTGCTAGCTGATATTACCTCACTACTATCTCTATTAATTGACTAGAATCCCTTTAAGATATTCTGACAATTTACCCAAATCCAAATTCTGAAGCTATTGGGTACATTCCACAGGCAAAAAACAAAATAATTTCTCCTCATAAATAATTGTCTTTGAGCCAGGGATCAAATTAATCCCTGGGAGGGACAGTTCAGCAGTATCCGGGGAGAGGCCTGGCCTTAGACAAGGAAAACTAGAACCACTGTCTAAACCTTCTCTCCTGCCGGCTTTGGCATAGAGGGGAAGAAAGCAGAGCCACCCCTGAGAACCTAGGTGCTTCCACCAGACAATATAATCCACTCTTCACGAAATGCAGGATTTTCAAATGTCTGCATAAAGCTCTAGTGGAGGGGTGGCAATTGCTTAGTGACCATATAATTGTCAAGGGCTGTGGTTGCAGGGAGCATTCCAGTCTGTGCAGAATGGGCTCTTAACTTAAATGTAAACTTCAGTTGATGTAACCTCACTTTGACCAGTGTAATTGCTGTTAATACACTGTGGTATGTTGTCTGTATGGTAGATAGAAAAAACTAGGAGGGCAGCAAAAAAAAAAAGGGGGGGGGGGGAAGTCAGCTGGTATTTTCGCCTCTTAATTTTTTATTTGGCTTTGCATATTTGTTCTAGCAGTTCCTGATGGTGCTTTTAGCACTTGCATTCATTTTAATTTGCCTGAGTCTTGAGGTGCCATAATTGTTCAGGTGTTTATAATTCCCTTGTTTTTCTTCCTGCATTATGCTTGCCTATGGAAGAACTCATGCAAGGTGCAGAAGTAGGTGTGACACTCAGGCTTCAGCTCAGAGTCTGTAATCAATTATATGGTTGGAGAGGAGGGGGGCAGAGTTTTGTGTCCACACAGGCAGAGCAGGGAACATGGTTGTCTCACCCCAAAGAAGTCCTACATGCTGTGATGAAATCCCTTAGATTCTGAGCCATCTATGTAGGGCTGGGGTATTTGCATGGAGAGTCAGCATCTCCACACCCACACTGCCAGTGCCTCTCTGATTCAGATTGAGCCTGGCATGCATTCAGCTGAGTTGGTCTGAAGGTATGAAGGGGGAAAGTTCAATTTCTGCTCTGACTCATGTACCATGAAGCTGCTTTGAAACAAAAGGGACTTGCATGGCATTTGAGTCAGGGTAGCAGTTGGTCCTAACAGCTCAATACACACTGCTTAAAGCACGTAATTTGGAAAGTAAGAATTAGAAACACATGGAAAAGATACAGGGTTGGTAAAATTATTTACTACACTGGATAAATAGTAACAGTCTAACTGAAATCCAATTGTGTCTATGGAATTGCAAGCCCTCTCCTATATCAATAGACCATGTCTTTATTTTAGTGGGAGTGACTAGCCCTCTGACTGTATTATGGTTACTCTGGGAGGTTTTAATGAAGCCTTTCCTGGTCGTTTTCAATGCCGCACAGCTGTAGAAAAGGAAATGTAATACTAAACCTCTGATACGTAAATGTCAGGGGCTGCATTTACACTGAGAGTAGCACGTCAAGGTTCTGTGCTCAGGCTGTCCCGTCATCGTTTAGTTCACCATGTCTAGCTAGTGAAGCACGGAGGCTAGGCAGGATCACATACTGTCTAGTTGCCCAAAATACCAACGAAACCTGTTCATATAGTTTAATGATACCTATATACCCTGGGATATACTACATGTTTCTTTTCCTACACTAGTCAGATCTATTTGCAGTACCTCTGATGTCTAGAATGAATGCTTAAGTATGTAGAATACAGTAATAGAACCATGCATTTTTAACCAAATATGGTTCTGAACAAACACCTCTTTCAAAGTCTAGCTAAGGAACAATAATTTGTGAAATCTGCATGGATCTGTATTTGAAAATTTGGGACACAAATAGCCATAGAGCAATCCAAACTATTTTTAGTTGAATGTTGTGCTCTAAAGAGAAAGCTCCTGCAAAAGCAATTACTGGAAAATTGGAAGTGATGCCTACAACAATGCAGGAAACCAGGAATCTTGAATTTACTGAGGATTACAAAGGACTTAATTTACATGACACATTTTATTTTGAAGTTCTAATTATTTTCTACCTGTATTTTATGCACTTTCATTGAAGGGATTTATTGCTACTGGAAGTTCCTCTTTTCCCAAATGGAGTGTAAAGATGCATATTATTCCCTTTAAGGAATAACAGACTTAAAATATTTTGTACTGCCCAGGAGAGGGCTGAGAAGTACAGGACACTTCTGGAGCAAATTCTAAGACTGGGGGTGTGTTGGGGTCACTTTACGGTATAACCAAGGCTGGTGAGAGGCAGAGTGTAACCCAAGTTTGGCTGACACACAAATGCTCAGAGTGTGGCTTGCATGCTGGAAGGCTGCTTGTGAGTGGCCCATTGGAAGATACTACAGCAAGGCATAGTAAGGCACCTAAGGGTGCAGGGCAGGGGGCAACACAGCTGCTCATTTGTCTGGATTGTACCCTGGTATGTCACATAAAAGCTATAAAGAACTCCCTGGCACTTTAGCAGAGATGTTATTCCTAACACCCTGGCTGCATTTCAGTTTTGGGAATATACCTTGTGGCAAGTCTTGTTCAGACAAAACTGGCAATAAGTCAATGGGAACTTTGCCTGGGTGTCAGCACAGAGTCAGGACTGCAGGATTCCTTCATTCAATCTAACTAAATTCCCCCAGCAGTTCTGACTGGCTATGGTAGACGTCTTCCTTTCCTGCCCTAAACTATTGTGTACAGTTGCCATAAGCAGGATGGTTGCATTTCCAGTGGGGGAAGAAGAGAATAATGTATGTGCAATATTTCAGTGATGTGCCTTTTTACTATTCTAAGTGATAGTGGGTAGCACTGCGAGATAAAGAAGATTTTTATATTAATGAGTTTTTAAAATAGTTAAAACATTACAACTTGATTTAATATTTATAAAAGGTAGGAAATGTATTTTCCACCCCATCCCTTCAGCAGTGTTACATCTTTCTGACAAGTGGATGCAATGGTGATATTTGATACATCCATTAGTGCCTTGGTAGTATATAAATATCTTAGGTCAGCATTTCCCAAAGTATAGAGTGCATTCCTCTGGGAGAGGGAGGGTGAGTGCAAAAGATTTGCTGAGGCGAAAGAGGCGGAGGAGGTGCAGAAGATGTATGATTGCAGATGGATGGTCCCTTGACAACATATGGAGCATATGGTGAGGTTGAAGGGGGTCAACAATTGATTGCATTTTCTTGAAAGCCGGCTTAGCTTGCAAAAGTTTGGGAAGCACTCCTATTAATTAGTTATGCTATTAATAATTTCCCAGCCATTATGGAGCTTTGAACACGGCTGCACCTTGGTCCCTGCTATTCTCTGCCTGTGGCACATAATAGTCTAGTCTCCCGTGGTCTGTAGGGTGACCAGACAGCAAATATGAAAAATCGGGACAGAGTGTGGGGGGTAATAGGTGCCCATATAAGAAAAAGCCCCGAATATCAGGACTGTCCCTATAAAATTGGGACATCTGGTCACCCTAGTGGTCTGTGATATTTTCATCTACTTTCAGCTGTTGAGTTTCATGTGCAGGTGCTGGGTGGGTTGGTGGCCTGTGATGTGCAGGAGGTCAGACTAAGTGATCTGGTGGTCCCTTCTAGCTTTAAACTTTAGGACTATGAAACAAAGTTGGTTTACCTTCATCACAAAAGAGGCAATTTATGGAAATTACTAATAGTTTTGCCATCAAATAATAGTGGTTCTTTGTGTGTGCTCTTTGGTTCATAGATCCGTCTTACTGTGATCGGCTGAGGCAGGACATGTACTTTCTCACGAGAAATGGCAGACTGAGCGAGCATCTGGTTGATAAAATCATTCTTCAGCTAAACAGAGTTTATCCCCAAATTCTCACCAATAAAGAAGCAGAAAAGGTAAGTGACTGGATATTCCTGCAGTATTTCCGGATGTAGCTTTATTTTCTGGCTGTCCTGCATCTAGGTTAGAACACCAACTGGTGAAGCTGCCCACGCCAACCTAGAAGACAAATCCCTAAACCTCTGAATGGTTGCCCCTTTGCTTTTTTACTGTCTACAAAATGTGCACTCATCACTGTAGTATTTGAGAGCCTCACAGCTATTAATGAATCTCTCCTTACCACATCTCTGTGTGGTAGGAAAATATTATCTGGGAAATGGAGATTATGAGGAACTGAGGCCTTGTCTTTATTACAAGGTTGCACCAATTTAATGAAAGGTATGTTTTTAAAGCAAATCCCCGTGCTAAATCAATACGAGCCAGGTTTAAATTGATTTAAGTGTGTCCAGACAAGGGTTTAACTAAACTGATTTAAAAATGCACCCTTAGTTAAACTGGGACAATTTGGAATATAGATCAGGCCTGAGGCAGAAAAGCCAGCCTTTTCAAAGTGGTCCCTGCTTTTGGGTGCAAAATGATTTATGTCAGTACAAAGCGAGTGCAAAGTGGGTATAAAATGCCAGCACATCAGAATGGTAATAGTTTGCAGTCGCTCTGTATGCAAGATGCAGAGGGCAATGGTGAATCAGACCTTTAGAGTTCAAAATAATGGGCTGGATCCTGTCTTGCACCAGTTTCAATTCGATCAGTCACCACTGAAATGAGTGGCGTTATTGCAGTGTAAGACGGTGTCTGTCAGACCAGATTCCGAACCATTCTATCTGCATAGTTAGGGGAAGAGGCCTGACTTAGATGATGTGAGATGTAAACAGTTAAAGAAAGGCTCATTCATTTAGGATTCAGAGTAAATTTAAGTCCTGGTGTTATGAAAGCTGGATGCCGCTCTTACACTCAAACTGAAACTGAACACTTTCCCTTGAGCTTGTGCACATTTGTTCTCTTTTTTTATTTACAAAACGTATCATTCCCATTATGCACATTAGGCTCCATCTTGCACACCTTACACTGCTTGCCTCTGAGGGCTTCAGTGGGAATTCTGCCTGAGTAAGGAGCATACAAAGGCATTCCTCTTCCTCTAGATAAGGAATTGATCCTAAGTGTAATGTTATCTCTCTCTACCCTACTGGTCCTAAGTGTAATGCTTTTATATTGACTTTCCAGATGCACCCATGTCTACATGATTTCAGTTAAGGCGAGGTGTAACATTTTCATTCTCACTGTAAGGTTTACTACTGTTCAGCACTTTGTCAGACCATGGGGAAGATCATCTCTTCCTCTGTAGCAACACGGATAGGAAGACAGGCTGAACACAAAGAGTGATGCATTAGGACTGTCATGATGGCTAGACCATGACAAATTCCAGAAAACTGTGGAAAATCTCTTTACATGTTTATCCCAGTTCTGAGATGTGCATTTTTAATAAGACTAAGTTAGAAGTAGAGAACTTTTTATTAGCCAATGGCATCAAAAGTATTTCTATTGGTGCTACATTTACATAAATTGGTTCCTTGCTAACTCAAACTCTTGGGAAATTATAAACATCAATTACCTCTCCTATTGTGTGGGCTACACTGCAGTTGATCAGATGCTAAAATAATGCTTGATCAAACTAAGTTAAGCAGCTGGTTCAAATTGTAGATGTTGATATTTGAGGTCTGAATCATTATTTTTGTTTCCTATCCTAGAATGCTCATGTACTGACAGATAGAGTTTTATGTTTATTTTGCTAAAAGTATTTTCACTTTCATAATGTAAATGTAGGGTAGGAACTAATTCAGCACTGTATCATTGCATTTGTAGTCTTTGTTCTAATGACTGCTTTTTCTCTTATAGTTCAGAAATCCAAAGGCATTGCTTCATATTCGGTTGTCAGATCTTATAAGCCACCTACAAAAGAAAGGAGACAAACACTGTCAAGAATTTTACAGGGCCTTGCAGATCAATGCCGAACAACTGTATAATGATTTGCCAAGCAGGAAAATCTTGAGTAAGTTGGGAGACTTGTGGCTTCCCTGAGTCAATGTATCACAAAATTTGCCTTTGCTGGCATCCCAGCTTATTTTGAGGAATTAAATGCTCTTTTTTCATGTGCTACTTTCTACAGACTAGAGACTTTAGAAGCCACCTAGTGGATTTGGATGCACCATTAATTTTGATTGGAATTGGAAGTCCAAATCTCTTTACCAGCTTTGAAATCGCAGCCCCTGTATTTAAGATACAATTTATGCCCAACATGAAAACGCAGAAAAATAACCCAATTCAAACTTTTTCTTTTAATAACTGCCCCTTTCCCTTTTATGCATTTTGTTTAAAAGGGCATTTATTTATTTTTCAAGCCTTTATTCTGACTTGTAGTAAATAAAAGCTATGTTTTAAAATAAAAAGTGTGACACAAAGTAACAAAATCAAGGCAGCTCAGAGACTTGGCTTCCACTCAATTCTTAAATCAC